AGAGAGAGAGAGAGAGAGAGAGAGAGAGACAGACAGACAGACAGACAGACAGACAGACAGACAGACAGACAGACAGACAGACAGACAGACAGACAGACAGACAGACAAAAAGACAAATAGACAGACCTTAAATACAAAATACAAGTGGTTATTCCTCAATAATTTATTATTCTTATCATTGACGGTAGAAAAAAGCAAATACCTGTGTGTAGATAACAGAGAATAAGAAAGGAGGCCTAAAGCCTAGAGACAAGCATAATATACTATTAGTTATTATTTGCTCATGTGGAAGACGAACCACTACCTCAGAATGACAAAGTTCTATCTGATAGTTTTGAGAAATTTGACGTCAACAATTTTGCGAATGCAATTTTTTGAATATCCTGATAACGACTTCAAATAATCTTACGATTTTGGTAGGGCAATATAGTGCATTGGGTTTACTTTCCTCGTGGTCTTAATAACTCAAAATGGCCAAAATTGTCAGATAAAATTCTAATTCCAAGGTAGCGAAACAGATAGACAAAGAATGTGTTGTTGTCTCGTCAACTCAGAAATGCTTACACACAGAGAGTGTTTCTTGTTCCTCAGTTCTTCCACGCACCGTCGCACTTAACCGTACGTTACCTTTAAGTAAGAAAAGCTGCAATTAATTATTCCAGTCGTTTGCCTTCTTTGAATGTTTTACGGTCCTATCAACACAAATCGGTAACTCTAAAGGCCAACCCGTGTGACGTGTACAAGCAGGCAGAAAGATAGAATACATAAAGAAATAAATATATAGAAGAAATATAGATCTATATATTATTTTATTCAATTAGTCGCCTACTCAAGATTACTCTTCCTCCACACTCACCCCCCTTCTCTTGCACAATAATTGCCATGCGTAATGTGCACAAAATGGTATGGGTTTAACGCCCCTATCAACACTATTAGATTATTTAAGGGGCTGGACCTCGTAGTTTAACGTCCGTCTCCGGTAGGACCGAGCCAAGTTGGAAGTTCGTGTAAAGTGCCTAGGCTATCCCAAGGACACTACGTCGAACCCTCGAACCCGCAATATTACAATTATGAGTCCGGTAGCCTAACCACTATGCAACCATACTGTGGACATTGTCCAAGACGAACACCCAATGTCAAGGAGACAATTGCTTGTCGTAGACAGGTAGAATGATCTCTTGTCAAGCATTGTCTATGATAGTAATATAATTAAATAAAGAGAAAAAAAACCTCCAGGAGGGACGTGGGAGCTGGTCGATTGTGTAGCAGATTGACTTAAGTAACCGTTACAGCGGTTCCGGCTGTATGTTAATGACTCTGTCCCCATGATTAAAATCAAATTTCCGTCTTTTTCCCCCTCCGTTCCAGCTGTCGACTCCTTTGTTTCCTGTAGCCACAAGAGATCTTATGCTTATTTCACCGAGAGCATCAACACTGTCTGCCCGTTTGTGGCCTTCCAGTGCAACAGCGAATCCGACTTCAAAGTACGTCTCCGTCTGTCTGTCTGTCTGTCTGTCTGTCTGTCTGTCTGTCTGTGTGTGTGTGTGTGTGTGTGAGGAGATGAAAAGATTAAGGATGTAGATCTAGAATCCTTTTTTTTCAGAATATTTAGAAAATTATCATTTTTTAAACATGGAACATTGCATCTAGAAATACAACGTGCATACAATATTTTTGTAAAGGGATGCTCATTGTTTCATTTCATGTGTTAACGAGTGATTTGGATTTCTTGTGCAGGAAAAGAAAGGAGTTGCCGCGAGCAGTTTCCATATAATTGGCCACAGCCTTGGTGCACACACAGCAGGCTATGCTGGGGAGAAAACACCAGGACTAGCCAGGATCACAGGTTCGTTGTTTTGGCTGGGGCTATTTTGAGAAAAGACTAATGCCCTACAAATATATTGCACCTAGAACATCAATTCAACGCTGTTAAAATTAAATCCAGAATTCACCTGAACATGTAATCGTATGGGTTAACACTTTCTTGTAAAAGGCTCAAGTTCGAATCCCAAGTGGAAAAAGTTTCTTTTTGTCAAGTATCTCCGTTACTGGTGTTGACCCCTCAGATAGGGTCGAAGCAGCGTCCCTTCGAAAAAAACAACAAAAAACGTATCGATAGGGCTCTACAACATTTAGGTTACATTATTTTTTAGTTGACTTGCTCAAAACACCCCCACAACCCACCTACCCACGCCCTGGGTGTTCCAAGTTGTAGGGTCAAATCAAACCTGAGTATTTTTCAAATTCACAACAGTGTGCATTCTCTTTATGCTCAAGGACTTGACCCGGCTGGACCGTACTTCGATGGCACCCAAACTGCTGTGCGCCTTGACCCTACAGATGCTACGTTTGTTGATGCCATCCACACAGATGGGAAACTTCTTGGTGACTACCATTTGATCTGATATGTTGTTGTTGTTGTTGCTGCTGTTGTTGTTGTTGTTACTGTTGTTGTTGTTGTTGTTGTTGTTTTTGTTGTTGTTATTATTGTTATTGCTGTTTTTATTGCTGTTTTCGGATTTTTTTTTTTATTGTGGTTGTTTTTTGTCTCAGTTTTGCTACAGGTTTTGATGCTGCTGTAATTATTATCGTTTTTTGTTGTTTTTATTGTTGCTGTTGTTGTTGCTGTTATTGTTATTGCTATTGCTGTTGCTGTTGTTGCTGTTGCTGCTGGTGCTGCTGCTATTGCTGCTCCTATTGCTGCTGCTGGTGCGTACTGTTGCTGCTGTGTCCATGTTTTATTTATATACAAATAACATTCAAAATGTACGTGCTTAAGAACAGATTTGGGACCTGAAAATATGTTCAGTTTGTGTATGTTTCGCTATGTGCGTGTTTTGCTATGTGTGTGTTTCGCTATGTGTGTGTGTTTCTCAGGTATGTGTGTCCTAGACTGTAGTTATATCACTGACTCATTGTTGTTTGTTCCCCAGGCCTGGGCATACGTCAGCCAGTTGGTCACATGGATTTCTTTGCCAACATGGGCCACGACCAGAATGGATGTCGCGCTCACACTGGGATTGACCTCATAAATCTGGGAGTTGGAGATAGTAATATTCTTCAACATTTGTCCACATTGGAGAGAGAGAGAGAGAGAGAGAGAGAGGAAAGGGGGGGGATGGGGGGTGGTGGTGATGATGGTTATAAGTGATCTGACTATAATGATTTAGAAAATTATAAAATGAAAATAGTAACATAGCACTTCCACTTACCTCAGAGTAATAACTAGCCTTTTCTCTGGCAATACTGGATCATGAAGATTACACCAGCCAGGGATTCAATTTTCTTTTATACATTATTCAAAAGTGTCCTCAGACATTCTTGTGTATTCATGAAATCTAGAGGGGTCCTTTTTTCAATTTACATAAAAGGTGGTGGTATTCACCAAAATGATCGTCTTCCTCTATTTAGTGGGTGTACATTATGTACTCTTGTCTTTCTTCACAGACCTCAACAATATCGAACTGTCCAGTCGCATAAATTCATCTTCAGAAGATATTATGTTCGCTAGACGATTTAAAAATCTTGTTCACGTTTGCCTCGGAGTCTCTGAGCCTGCTGAGAGGCAGGTTCCAAGTCGTCACTTTGGCCACTTGTCATACCACACCTGCTTCGTAGGTTACCGATCGCTTGTAGCGAGTAAACCTGCGGCAAAATGCCTGCCGCATTACTGACGCATCCTATGTCACGATTAAGTGAACTTTACTTTTACTTTTAGTTTACCTTTTCCTTCCTCTGGTATCCTTAGGATGTCGAGGGGAGGTACAAGTTTCGGTCCTGTGCTAGGTGTGTAGCGTCTGTGATAGATATGTCATGTTGTTCCTAGACCTTTTTAACCCCATCCAGCCAGGTCTTTCTAGGTCTTCCTCTTAATTTGAAGCCAGATTCTCGGGTGTTGTGAAGCTCAAGCCGCTATTTGTTTCTGGGGCATTCTGGATAGATGTTCAAACCATCTGACTCTTTGACGCTCTAAGAATTATATTACTGGTGGTATTCCAGTTTGTAGACGTACTACTTCGTTTCTTATGCGGTTTCTTTTGGTGACGTTGACGGTTTTGCGGAGACACCTCATTCCGCATGCATTGATTTTTCTTTCTTGTGCCTTGTTTAGAGACCATGTTTGGCACTGGTATGTTGATGTTGGTAAGAAGATGCTGTTGATGAGCTGAGATTTCACTTCGGTTGGGATGTTCTTGTGACTGAGCAGGGGTGCTAGCTCGTAGGTACTGCATTTGCCTTCATAGTCCTTGTTTCTTTTTTTTTGTCCATTCGCCCATATTGTGTGAAGATGCTTTCCAAAAGAATGTTTAAATCCCTCTACTTGTTGGAGCTATGTTCCACCAATAAGAATGTTGAAATTCCCTGGGTTTCTGCTTAATGACTTCTGTTTTTGAGATGGAGATTTTCATGTTCAGATTTTAACAATCCTCTTTTAGTTTTGTTGTGTGTTTTTGTAATTCCTCTTCATCTGTATTTAATATACTCTGGTCATCAGCACATAGAGCTCGTTCAGTTCAGTGATGTTGTCCGTTGCTGTTTTTGTGATCTTATCCATGTAAGTGATGAAGAGAAGCGGAGAAAGTACACACCCTTGTCTCACCCCACACCAGATGTGGAGCCAGTCCGGTGGTCCTTTTATTGATCTTACGGAACACATTTAAGTGAACGGGCTCCGTTAACTGTATATTCTAGTACACAACCATTATCATTATCATCATAAAATATTATTTTATGTGGATGGAGTAGGATTCTAATGCCGAACAGTGCAGAAGACGAGTTCAGGGAAAAAACTGGGCGTGCATTATACTTCTATAGGCCTAAATGTGGTTCATGTTATGTTTGTGTTTTTTACTTTCATAGGAGATGAATAAGAAAAAAATAGACTGACAGATAAAGACAAAATGTACAGTTAAAAGTACATGCCACGTTGTAACGCTCAAATAGATCTAAATCTCAAACCTTTCGCAAGCGACTTGAATTCGAGTGTTTTTTTTGGAAAATCGCGAATTCTTTTTTCGAGGGGGGAAAAAACATGAAAAAAACCCGCAACCCCCCC